TCCATTGTACTAACAATTTCTTAATACATATCCAACCCGTGTTGAAGGAGATATGAGAATAAGTTATTCTCATGCTTTCTTTGACGAAAGCACCTTCTGGCAGTGGAATGACGTGATCGAGGCAGACCATAATCCAAATCAATTCATGGTGGAGTACCTCGTCACCGAGCCAGAAGAAGGAGGAGCCCAGCATCAGGAGCCGTCACGATACCGATCACGATACTGATTTGGAGGCCAGGTACCGGAGGATGGATGATCTAGTGGGAGGAGGAGGTGAACCACCTGGACTGGCAGCGCGCGAGCTCGAAGAAGTGGCCGAACTACATGCCATCATTGCCAGATGATGAACCGAACACCTTCGCCGAAGCAGAAAAGAACCTGTGCTGGCTGAAGGAGGAGATGACATCCATCACCAAGAACCAGACGTGGAGTCTAGAGGATATGCCGCTGGGACACCGAGCCATAGGGCTCAAATGGGTTTTCAAACTGAAGCGCAACGAAAAAGAAGAAGTTGTGAAGCACAAAGCCCGTCTGGTGGCGAAGGGCTACGTCCAGAAACAAGGAGTGGACTTCGAAGAGGTATTTGCGCCAGTGGCAAGGTTAGAATTCGTTCGTCTCTTGCGTCTCTTGCGTCTCTTGCGTCTCTTGCGTCTCTTGCGTCTCTTGCGTCTCTTGCGTCTCTTGCTGGCAATTGCGGCACTTTCCTTAACGGAGAGTTGAACGAGACCGTCTATGTTCGACAACCACCTGGCTTCCTCGATAACGACAACCCTAATAAGGTACTGCGCCTGCACAAGGCACTCTACGGGCTCCGACAAGCCCCACGAGCCTGGAACGCGAAGCTCGACAGTACCCTACTGTCACTGAAATTCAAACGTTGTGCCTCTGAGCATGGCATGTACACGCACAGCCACGGCAAGAAGTGACTGATCGTGGGAGTGTACGTCAATGATCTCATAATCACTGGAGGCGACGTGGGAGTCCTCGAAAGGTTCAAGAAGGAGATGTCGAAAAACTTCGAGATGAGCGATGAGCGATCTCGGCGTGCTCAACTACTACCTCGGCATCGAAGTGCAACAGAACTCTTCCGGCATCTCCATCTGCCAAAGTGCATACGCGAAGAAGCTGCTGGACACAATTGGGCTTGTGGACAATAATCCTACAAGGACGCCAATGGAGGCCCGACTCCAACTAAGGAAGGCCGGCACTACGACGACAGTCGACTCCACCAATTACCGCAGCATTGTCGGGAGTCTGCGCTATCTGGTAAACTCTCGTCCTGATCTTGCTTATTCTGTTGGATATGTGAGCAGGTTTATGGAAGCATCTAGGGAGCGGAAATGAGAAACTCAAGCTGGTCGGCTACAGTGATAGTGACATGGCCAGTGACGTTGATGATCGTAAGAGCACCAGCGGAATGATCTACTTTCTCTCAGGCGGCGCAATCTGCTGGCAATCAACAAAACAGAAGGCTCATTGGGAGAGAAAGCGATCCACCAATGTTATACGTAGACAACAAAGCTACAATCTCCCTGATCAAAAATCCAGTTTTGCATGACCGGAGCAAGCACATAGAAATCAGATTCCACTACATTCGAGAATGTGCAGATCGAGGGCTCATCAAAATTGATTTCATCCGAACAGAGGAACAACTTGGAGACATTTTCACCAAGTCCCTTGCGCGGGTGAAATTTGAAGAACTACGCTCAAAGATCGGAGTTCAAATAATAAGGTACAGCTTTTAGGAGGAGATGGTTAAATAAAAGCTATGCCTTATTTAGTTAGGTTTTCTAAAAACATATAAATTCACGGGAAAAGCCTAATTGTAGGTGCCATTGTTTGGCCAATTTGGGCGAAGTCTTCGTCCACTTTCCTATTTTTGTATAATTGATTTTTCTATTTTTGTAATTAGATTTGTTATTTAAACCGTTCAACTGAAGGAAAATAAGATATCGAGTTTTATTTTTGTATGTATATATATATTTTATACAATAAATTACTTGTACTTGCATAAATCATTTTATTTCAGCTATATTGATAAGGTTAGAGTTTACGATAATGGAATGTTTAAATTTTTTTTTATAAATATTATTAGTTATATAGCAACATTTTTTTTTTTAAGGTGAAACAGTTAATTCCAATTTTTAATTTATTTATTATTTTTGTTACAATTTGCTATGTATTATATCATAATTTATATATTTTTTTATTTTTTAAATAATTTAAGTCAACATAAATAAGTCTCTTTCCACCTAAGTAAAGTTGAAAATTTGACTGAGAGTCGCTCGGCTGACTCGAACACTTAGAGAATCCTTATGTTAACCACTTTCATTTCTCTCATTAGACCATCTGTAGCACTCATAGCTACAGCTCTAACCCGATTATTTCCTAATAATTGTTGTACTTCACAAGTCACATTAATTTTTTGACCGGTAGTATATATCTTTACTTCTAACTATCAAAGCGTTGTAAATATTAGGAATTTTGTCCGGGAAAAACTACCTCTAGTACCGGACCAATGAT